TTCTTATTATTATTATTATTTTTAAAATCTTTTCTTATGGTTTTGTTTTCTTCTAGGTTTTTTTTTTTTTAATCTTCAGTTTTTCTGTTCTTTTCTTTTTTATAATATATTTTATATTTCTTTTTTTTTTTGCTGATTTGGCTCTCTATATATTCGTTTAGTCAATAGAAAACTCGAAGAGGCTGCACAACGCACAACTTGAGGTATGAATTTTGATTTGTTTATTAAATTGATACTTAGATATGCATTTCAATTAGATTAAGTGATATTGATTTTCGTAAAATTAATTTGATGATTTAATATGAATTTTGGTAGACTAATAATTATGGAAGACCTAAGACCCTTATTTATTTCAATTATACAATTATGAAACGGTATTGTTTTTGGTGAAGAAACAGGTCTAACGCCCAACAGAGAAACTAAACAATGAAATGGTGAGAAAATATCTAAATCTTCATTTGAATAATTCTGGTAGTTCAAATCGTCCTTCAAATAATTCGGGTAGCCTTTTAAAATTGCCCCTCTTCTGAAAAAAAAAAAACTTGGATTTGCCACTGATGTCAGGTTGACTTGTTAATTTTCTGTGTGAATTTAGAGTCATATAATAGGTCGTATCGAAAATTGCCACCCCTAGTTCTAAATATATATATGGGGGCGGCTAATTTATATCCCTATTTAAGTCGTATAGTAGGCTGGCGGCGTTGGTTCTTGGCAAACCAAAGAATACGTTATTTTGAAGTTGTTGAATTAATGCTATTCTCTCTTTTTTTCTTCTTCATTGAATGTTTGAATGTTGTCTAGCTTTTTCCCAAAAGATAAGTTAGGGAAGAAGTCAGTAGATTCGCAAAGACTAAGAGCTTGGTGGATGCAAGATCTCAATCGGTAGGGGGACCATTGTTGAACCAATGTGATGCAGGAGTGCTGGGTAAAATAGAATTCTCCATTGTTGAATGGGGTCCATTGTTGGCCTTACTTGTGGCTACCGTATATTAACTAACCTTCTTTTCCTTTTTCTCTTGTTCGAAACAACCGTTTTGCTTTTTTGTTCATGATAACCGTCCTCCAATAAACTCAACTAATTTTCTGTTAAATGATCATCATTTTGAATTTTGAGATATCATCAACAATCTTTCTTTCTATTCTTTTTGGCCTGAACGCGTTGACTTTTCCATTCTTTTTTTGTCTTTTCCTTGGCTGTTTGCTTGACTTCTTTTATGCAATCGCTCCTGTCCCGGACAATTTTAACTGAAGCTAGTGGGCTTGCTTTGCGCGCGCTATATCCACTCACACAAGAAAACACTGTATAATTAACCAACAAACGTTACCTCTGTGAAACTCTGCAACTCACGTGCGAGAGAAGAATCTACTAGCCTATGATATCGACAAGACGCGGTAACTGGTCGCGGTAAAAAAACGGTTCTTTTACTGATTCACGCAGTTATCGAGAATTTACCCTTTGTTTGTCTGAGAAAGAAGAGCAAAAGCAATCAGTGGGTGGGTCAGCTCTCTCTCTCGTCTGCGATCTGTGAAATGATGACAGCACATTCTAAGATTACTGTTTGGAGAGGAGCCTACGGACCTAAATGCAACACGAAGTTACTGCTCATTCTGATGTTCAATAAATCATAGGCTCTACTCTTGTGGATATTCAAATGTCTTTATCTGTGTGTGTTTGTTGAGATGACTGCCTAAATTTAATTTGTTAGCTAGCTATAGAGAAGTGAAGAATGTTCGTATGGCCCTTGATCACCCAAAAAAAAAGAAAGAAAAAAACATGAAATGGAAAAGGAAATGTTCTTTTGGGAGTTCAAAACTAGCTAGGTTTGCACTAGTGATCGATCATGTGTTTGAGGCTAATTAGTAGGGGTGGAAGCTAGGCAAAGATGTTGGCTTACATGTCATCCATGAACTTTGCAAGTAGGGTACTGACTTGACTTGTGAAAGAAAATATGTGATTTTTGTGTGAAATAATTGAGATATTTGATGGATCATGATGGTTAAAGATGATTTTCAAGTGCCTTTAGTGAGTATTTTATTTTCATTTTTTACCCAAAAATAGTGAGAGAATAGATTCAAACTTGAGTGCATAAGGTAAATCTTTGGTCCGATTTGGATTTTAAACTGTTTGACTTTTTCTTAGTCAAAACAAATTTAAATCGGCAATTATAGTTCGGATCGGCCTAACAGTGTCTAGGGCTGGCATTTTCACCTGAAAAACCAAGAAACTGACCGAATCAACTCGAAAATTTGGGTCGAAAAACCGGCCTTTGCAATGTCAATCGGTTTTGGGCCGGTATTTTGGGCCGAACCAATGCACACGGTTGTCGAAGTGGTTATCAATATTCAGAACCGCTAGTATACTGAACTGACCCGATATAATAAAATATATATATATATATAAATTATATTTATATATACTATTAATCTAGACCATTGATTTTTATTAATAAAAAAACCCCAAATAATCTGGACCATCCATTCACACTCACCCTAGTCGTCTCTATCTCTTCTCCTCATTTGCCATTCGACGCCTCACCTCCTCCCTCCATCTCTCTCTGTGTCTCAGATCAGTCGACGACTCGACGCTACTCCACGACAGAATCACCACCATGTCGTCACCACCTCGAAGTCGTCGTCGTCACCCCAACCTCTCTCTCTCTCTCTCTCTCTCTCTCTCTCTCTCTCTCTCCTTGTCTGTTCCTTTCTCTGTCTCTGTCTCTCGCTCTCTGTCTCTTCCTCTCCGTTCCTTTCTCTAGCCGATGACACCTCACGCGTGACACCTCCTCCACCTGCAAATAGACACAACACAAGAGAGGTAAGTAATTTTGGGTTTGATTTTGAATATTTGTCTAAGAATTTCGATTTAGGGTTTTGATTTTTAGGCTTGGGGCTTTCGGGTTTGGGGTTGTAAATTGCAATTGGGGTTTTCAAGTCAAGCATTTGTATTGTGATTCTAACTATTTTTCTTTCATTGATTGACAGACATTGGAAAAAAGAAAAAAGAAAAAAAAAAGGAGGAGTTGTTGACAATTGTGGTTGTTGCTTTGCTAGGATGCTTTGAGGCAAGTATTGAAAATTTGAATGTTTAGAAATTGTTTTGGTGTGTTTTAGGTTTTTTTTAACTTGTTTATAATCTGTTTTAGGTTGTTTTAAAGTATTTGAAAAATATATTTTTGATATTTTTGTCTTTGTTTTAGGTTTTTAAAGTTGTTTAGAATCTTATTTAGGTTGTTTTAACTTGTTTAGATACTGTTTTCATGTGTTTGGCTATGTTTTAGATAGTTTTAAGTATGTTTTTGA